TTAGCAAATGACAGAAAAAGATATTAAGGCAATGAGGCATTTGGCAGTAATATGGTAGGGTTATACATTTAATTCGCCTTACCTCCGAGGACTCATTATTCATATCAGCAGACGGCTGCTCAGACTCCGAGCTCTGGGAGCCTCCTTTCCCAGGAGTCTATTTCCACAAAGATATGTGCAGAGAAAGTAGAGAAAGGAAGGATTTGAATCAGGTGTCAGCTGCGATGAAACTCATCTCATTATTTCACACTATTCATGTCTGGCACAGCTGATCAGGTATCTCGGCAGCTGATCAAGAATGAGTGCACATCATTTCATGTCATTCACAAGGTGTAAAGGCAAAGATCGCTTTGTTCACTTCTTGGGATGTGCTCGGCATGGCTGTCAGTCATCGGGCTGAAACGGTATACTCAGCAAGAGGGTCGTTTAACATTTCCCTCGATCTTGGCAACCGAGACCAGTATGATGTCAAACAATACTGTTCTCTAACATTGATACGCCCTTGACATTTCATATGTGCCTACTGTCAGATCACAAGATGTCACAACAGGGATACAAGTGGCCGAAAACTACGGCTTAGTCATAATTAGACCTTACTTTCAGCTTCCCTTCCACTTCTGAAAGAGAATAACTTTGACACCTCACCATGTAACACATTGGCTTGGTTCAAGAAATCTGTTAAATAAACAGGACTTTCAAATGCTCAATGACTCTCTGTATTAGAGATGGGAATTGGGTCAAGAAATGTTCATGTAACACCCCAAAATCAAAATAAAAAAGAACCTTTACTTTGCATAATTTTATTTTGATAGAATCTACTATTAAGACCCTTAAAACTTTTTATTTTTAGGACAAATAGTAACATTTTATCCTCCAATTCTCATTACTGCAATGCAGTCATTTACTGTAATTCAGTCAACTGTTTTGCAATGATTTAAAATAAATTAACTTTTAAATAAAGGCAGTTCAGAAAATGCTACCAAGATGTATAAATACTTATAATAACTTGTTGAATGAAATTAAACTTTTATTTAGCAAAGATGCATTAAATAGATCAAAGGTGGAAAAAAAAGATTGATATTTTTTAAAAATGCTGTTCTTTGCAACTTTTTCTTCATTAAAGGATCCTAAAAAAATTATCAGTTTAAAAAGATATGTTAAACAGCACCACTAAGTTAAGAAAATAATAAGAAATGTTTCTTGAGCACAGAATCAGCATATTGGAATGATTTCTGAAGGATCATGTGACACTGAGGACTGAAAAATCAGCTTATTCAATATTACATTTTTATATATTAACACATAATAATAATATTTTTTTTAATCTTTTGAAAGGTGGTGTTTATACACCTCACTACAGGAATATTATTAAGCAGAAATGACAGACTCAAGGACTATCAGCTGCTGCCAAAAGATCAGGTTGTAACGTTATAACTATACTAACGTTATAGCAATAGGATATGACAGATCAGACATTTCTTTTAATGGGGAAATCATCTAGTGCGAGTCACAGCTTGACAGATTACTGAAAAATACATTCACACTAGCTATTTCAACGGGACACGTCTTTGGGACAAAATTATCAAAGCTGACACCTTGTCATTGCTTGTCGTTAATCATAAAACGACTTATGAATAAGCAATTCGACAAAGCTATGTAGCCCGCTAACCGGCTAACAGCTCAGTCTCCATGTCAACATTCACGCGGAATGACATCATCAGAATATTCACTGCTCCTCAAGAACAAAAGAGATCTGATCCAGTCGCGATTCGAGACTGTCGTCAAGAAACCACAAGCGAAAAGTCATTTTAAACAATCTGGAGCAAGGCCATCATTCAGTGTCAGGCCCGACGAGCTACAAATCACATGCAACTGAATGAGTGTCTGTGTGTATTTCACTCACCATCTGTAATATTCGTCTTAACATTCTGCTCCTTTCTCTGGCTAGAACTATGAAAAATCAAATCTTAAAAGTTTTGTGCTAATGAGGGAGTGTATAAATATTTTGTTGTTGACACCTGCAGACACACACTGCTGCTTCTGTAGAAGCACACCGTTTTCCGATAAGTCCCGCCCTTCATCTAATCAATGTTTGCGATGATTGGTCCATCTGCATGAATGGCTTCTAAACTGCCCAATTGTAGGCTGTCTGTAAGGAGCGCCAACCAATCATTGAAAAGAGAGATTAGGTCAAAGGCGGGATTTGTCGAAACAGTGACCGCTCACTTTTCCTTTATTCCGGAAGTATTTTCCCATTCATTTTTTTTTTCTTCAATTAGGATTTTTTTTTAAATCCACTGTAAAATGTCCTTAACCATTACCAAAAGCAACCAGATCAGACATTAATCTCAACATAACAAACATTATTTTTCAAAAAAGTGTTAGAAAATCGGAAAAGTACAGAAAGGTAAAAGACTAACGTCTTTTATGAGGCCATGAACTACGCATCCCATGAAGCATTACGAATGACGTATTAGAATCCAACAACGCTACAATATTGAATTATAAAAAATTTTTAAATTATAAAATACATTTTTGAAGCGTATTGGAGAAATAGTTAAATATATACAGATATATAAAAGTTGTTTGAGAGAATGGGTCGTCTGGACTCAATTACTTTATTTGCATTGCAAATGGAAGTGGAAGTTCTCTCTATCCTGCCAAAAGTGTAAGATATTGATTATTCCTGTGATTTTTGTTCATCAGAATAATAATCTGTTGTCCTCTTTTGTAATTGTGTACACAAATATTTTTTGGGTGGATATGGAGAAAATAATGTAGAAAAGGAAAACATATTATAACCAAGATTAATAATTTTGATAGCTGTATTTAGGCTATGTATTATTCCAATGAAAATAATAATAATAACATTTTCTTTTACAATTTTACATAGGCTACACAAAACGAACAAAAACAACAATAGACAAGAAACATGAAAAGAGGTGATGGATTGAAGATCCACATCAGAGAAAATATATTGATCTGTGAACTTCACTGTTATGAACTGCATTGAATAATAATTTTTCTGCTGCTGCAGTTACTCAAATTAGTTCAAATTGATTCACTTCATATTACATATGTTGTTCAATTATCAGGAAGTCATGGATCTTTCAACTTTAAGTTTGCACACTTTTTTATTTACACAGTTTAAAGGTGAAGAGGGACGATGATCTGCATTAGGAGGAGTTGTAGTTGCGGTTGTGCTTGTTGATCCACAGGTGCTTCGGTTTCGGATCGTTCATGTAGCGTTCAAGCAGCAACTCTTTTTCTCTTCGCTCCTTCTCCTTGATTATTTTCTTCTCCTCCTTTTTTCTTGGCCTTCTCCTCTGCCCAGGTGAACAGAACAAGTGGCACTTTTCTTTTGTACTTTTTCCGGACGTTCACATTGTGCTGGGTCTCATTCTTGGGACCGTCAGGAGAGACTACACAGAAGAGCTTCATCATGAGCATCGATCTCAGAGGCATCATCTAAATGGCTCGCGCTCGCCCATAATACCTCCTGCACCTCACTGTCCTTCTCCAACTAAGCAACCATCTTTCTCGGTTTCATTTCAGCCTCCAGCATTTGGGGGCATTCAGACTTGAGTAAGTCACTGGCCCAGACAGTGAGGTGCAGGAGGTGTTATGGGCGAGCGAAGTGGTGGAGGTCCAGGGATTTGAGGAAGAGGAAGGTGACCCCAGTGAAATGGGAGACTCCAAGGCCATACAAGGCCATTTGGATGATGCCTCTGTTAGTTTTCTTGTAAGGTGCAAATGTTTGTTGCTGACCCACTTTGGCTGAATGTGTTGGATAAAGTGGGCCATTGGGTTTAGGTAAAGTGGGCGACCTTTAACCTTCAGTAATTATACTTAAATTCTTTAAATAAATTGACATCCATTGGTTATTTAATAGCTGATGTGTATAATCTACTTTTTTAGAAAACAGAAATGAGTGTGCAGTCAGGAAATTCAAGGCAGAGATAGAAGAAAGGAAAGAAAGAGCAGAAAGGAAGGCAAGGCATTAAGTTGAATCTGTGGTGTGAAGAAATGACGAGAGGAGCAAAATTTAAATGCAGAGTATAAAGCTTTAAAATTTGGACACAAAGTTAATTTAAGGCGTTTAGAGAAAACAGACAAACATTTTTTACAATATGGTTACCATTTTAAAGATTCCTCTTGTTCAGTTTTTGTTAGCCTTATTCATTCAAAGTGGGTCAGCAAACATTTGCACCTTACAAGAAAACTAACAAATGTTTAAACATTTTTACATTCTTGCAACAATTCTATTCCTTTTCAGTAGTAACAAACAAAATGGTAACTGTCAGAATAATATTTGTTTAGATTTAGAGAGCAACCTTAAGTTAAAAATCTTATGTCAAAGGGTTTTTAATTTTTCACCTTGAGGGAATCTTCCTTTGAGGTCTGGCCACACCCCCTAATGTCATATTGCATCAACCAAAATAATTGTAATATTTAAAGAAATAGCATCTCTTTAATACAAACCCATTGAGCAGTACAATCAAGCTTAAACGGCCCACTTTACCCGCATTCAGCTATATGCCTCCAAGAGAAGACTTGCCACATGACTTTCCAAGGAAATCCTTATCTGATTATTATGTTATCCTATGTTATCATGCCGAATCCCTCTTTTAGCCATGTTTTTTTAAGCATGATATATACATACAGATAAGCTATTACAAATCACAGTTAACATCCCGACTTGTTCTTTACAGAGTTTATTCTGAGTTTGGAACAGAGATGAGTTTATTTTGTTTGAAAATTTTGATTTCCGAAGACAGGCAAAAAAAGAAAAGAAAAAATAATAATAATGATAATTTCTGTCAAATCACATTCACATTGTGGACATTTTAACACGGTAATGTTTTACATATCAAACAGTGTTCATTGAGCCTCGCTGATAAACAAGAGCTAAGGGTGCCTGTGTTTTTAGCAGTGCAATAATTTAACTTTAAATGTCTAAAACAAACTGTGGGACTCATAATACCAAATAAACTAAGGCAGAAGCTGACATTTTTAATATTAAAACATATTTACAACCTAACATGCAATCTTCCCTCTGCAGAAAGATAAGTATGCTTGTTTACCATTTACAGTCTTAATAAAACAGTTTGGCCACATATTTCATCCCGTTCAGTGAATTCCACATAAAAATCCCACTGAAAAAAAAAAAAAAACAGTGGAAGATTACAAAGGCCTCAAAGGAAAAGCATTATGCACAATTACATAAAATTCCTCCTCAGCTATTTAAACTCCCAAGATTGAGCTATTGATGCCTGAATTGTTACTATAATCAAAATAAATGTATACTGCATTTCTGCAGACCTTAGAAAAAACTGGTTTGACAAGATGTATTAGGGTTAACATTAGGTGTTTATGCCTTTTCTTTTTCTGAAATATTCAGAATATCACTTCAGGCAATATAAACAGCATAACATTACATAGTCTTTCATGGACCAATGACACCAGACTTAGGTTTTTTTTTTCTTTTTTTTTTCTCACATTTTACCAAATGCCATTGTGTCTTAAAGAGACAGTGGCTCAGAAGTAATTATAGGAGATGGGAAATTAAACCTTTATGTGCAAAGAGAAAGAAGGGTAATCACATTGCACCGCTTAATGTGGCAAATTCACATTTAAGACCAAACTGTGAAAAGACCTTCAACTTCACAGCATGTTAAACCTATATTACAGGTAGATATCTGTGATGAAGGCATCTAATATAACCAAAAGTAGCCCAAATCCTCTTTTAGACTATTTACGTATTCTATAATTCATGATTATGATAATGTTTTGCCCCTATTTGGTTCTTTATCAAGAATTTTACCCAATACCTAACATATAAGAGTAGTTATCTATTAGATATAAATAGACAGCATTTCAAAAAGACCCATCCTTTATCCTTTCTAAATAACAATCAATCCTTTTCACATCCAACATTTTCTTCCTCCACCTAAAGCATCTGTAAAATAATATTTCTAAAATGTCCATCACGGCACGCGTCTCCATTAATCTGCGCTTACTTGACGTCACTCTTCTTCAAATAACTTTACCTTATTTGGCTTGAAATGCACGTTTACGAATTAAATATTATGAAAACAACTCTCCTTGTTCTTATTGACCCGGAAACTTGCAGGCATTTCACGACAAGCCTTTGGTTTCTACACTTAAAAAAAAAGTTTCAAATAGTAAACATTGAAATTATACATGCAAAACTGTCTTTTCCAATCCAATGATAGTTTTCCTTGCATCGGTGCCCTCTAGTGGCAGTTCTATCTGTGCAAACGGGCCAGTTCACAGTCCTGTGAGGCTGTCTGGCGGAGGGGGGCGTTGTCATCAGTGTTCTCCGGCTCCTGAGCATTGCCGTTTGTGGGGCCGCAGTGAGGAGTGAGTTTGCGGAGATACTCTGCGTGGACAGGTTTGTGGCACTGTAGCACCCGGATCGCCTCGTCGATCTTGAACCATTTCCGCTTACGACCTGCAAAACATATTTCAGAGAATTTTGAAATATTTAAAAGCATAAAATACAGCAGTCTACGGATCCCCTTAAGGGACATGGTGATGGAAAAAAATTTAGATTGGAGGAAAAATTATGTCAATACTAGATAAATAAAATTAGTCATATCGTGATTTAAATATTGGTCATATCGCCCTCCCATACTCTCACAAAAGTTTAGCGTATATAGACCTACCTGCAAAACTTCAAGCACTAGAAATAAGAAATACTACATCAATTGTATAAAGTAATAACATGTATTAAAAAAACACTGCATGGTCTTCAGTGTAAATCAAATTTAATTTTTTTTTTTTAATTAAAGTTACAAAAGTGATTCAGTCAAGAGCAATGAGAAATGTTCTCTTTTTTCTTGTTTGAGTAACATTAATAACAACAGCAGGTACATTTGGATGCTGTCAGTTTAAAGGAATACATGATTTTGAAAGAAAGTGGTGGATTTACAAGTTTGTTGATGTGCATTTCTTAGAAACTAATTTATGTTTATGTTAATAACCTTGTTCCCCAGCAACAATTCAATAGCAGAAATACAGGTTTAACAGCAGCATTAGTTAATGTCATGATTTACTCACCCTCAAGTTGAGGCAAGTTGACTTCCATAGTATTTTTATCCTACTATGGAAGTCAATGGTCTTCAACTCATCAATTGCCTGCTTACCGACATTCTTCAAAATATCTTCTTTTGTGTTCAGCAGAAAAGAGAAATTCATACAGGCTTGAAACAACTCGAGGGTGGGTAAATGATGACAGAATTTTCATTTTTAAGTGAACTATTCCTTTAAGACCGACTGCACGGATCCAATATACTCGTGCATTTTCTTTCTCAACAACGTTCACTTTACGTTCACCTAAGACATAAAATGACTGTGTTGACTTGCAAATACATGGTCACTTTGACAAATAAGTATGTGTATTTAAATGGATAGTTCACCCAAAAATGTAAAATTCTGTCATCATTTACTCACCCTATGAATTTCTTTCCTCTGTTGAACACAAAATAAGATATTTTGAAGAATATGGGTAACTAAACAGTTTTTGGTCCCCACTGATTTCCATAGTAGGGAAAAAATACTATGGAAGTCAATGGTGCGCCACAACTGTTTGGTTACTGACATTCTTCAAAATATCTTCTTTTTTGTTCAACAGAGGAAAGAAATTCAAACAGGTTTGGAACAACTTGAGGGTGAGTAAATTATGACAGAATTTTCATTTTTGGATGAACTATCTCTTTAACTCTTCAAGCCCAATTTGTCGGCAAAAAGCACTCAGTTCAGTTCTCGCGTGCTTTATGAGCAGCGGCTTCATGCGCGCACGTCTCTCAGACAGTGATGAGAAATATAGCGTGAAAAAATATAGAAGAAATGTGTAGTCTTTCGCTGCTAACTGTGCTTTAACGGGTTCAAATCACTTGTTTTTAAACAGCAACAGTTAAAAATGCATGCATACGATAAGCTTTCGTGACTGCGTAGCACAGCAACGTCATGTGAGCCGCGTAACCACGATAGAGCAGATAGTTCAAAATCTCTACCAGTTGACAAATTTCAACCGATTAATAGTGTCTACCGGTATACCTCCCGCCCCTATGTGAGAGAATGCAAAAGCATTGAAAAATATTTGTTCCTCATTTTCACCATGTCCCCTTAGGGGCTCTGCAATTTTTAATTTTGTCCTCGCAAGAGCTACATTTACTTTAGACATATATGCAATTGCCCAGCTAACAAAAATATGTTCTTAGAATTCTTAGAATCCCGTTAAATTATGAAAATGATATTAGTGCCCGAGCACCAATGGTGCGAGAACCCTCATTTCTGAATGTTCTCTGAACAAGTAGCAACATTTAAAAAACATTAGACAAACTTCCAACTAAAACGTTTCAGAAAAAAAGTTTCACGAACGATGCACAAATAATATTTCTTGTGCTAATGTTTTGAGAACATTATTAAAGACCAAATAACTCTGAATTAATGTTCTATTAACATTACTGGAAGAAAGTTTGATCATAACTTTGAGAAAACCTTGCCAGAACATTAGCCAAAGTTGAGAACATTTCCTGTTAGCCGGGTAAATACACTTGCTGCTCAGTTTTTTTTTTTTTTATATAAAAAAACACCAAAACATATAGCGCAAATATATAGTTATCCAACAAGCGCAAATAGGGGAAAGGGAGGCAACAGACATCCAATAAAAAATGTCCAATGTTCTTTATACAGTCCAGTAAATGGAACGATAAGGGTGTCCAGGCATCAATAGTAGCAGGTTTAACCTTAAGTTGTGCTGTTGTACATTCATATTTTACTATGTTAAGAAAATGATATATCCAGTATGTTTTGGTACACATATGTGGCATGAACCAATTTTGAATTGTTTTTTGTTTTTGTTTTTTTGCAGACGCAAAACCAGCCAACACAAAGATCAGAATCATCATTAAGGAGACACAGACCTGGATTAAAGATCTAGACGGTTTGAAGACTTGCTGCTCAGTTTTAAAAATGCACAGCTTTATTTAAATACAGTACAAAAGGTCAACTTCACAGTGAATTTGACAGACATTTGGCTGCCCAACCATCTGACTGACAAACATTCCACTGTATTTATAGTCCTCAAAACTGTCTCTCACAAAGTGCTGAAACTTAAACATTCACCTTAAGCATTTTTAAACATGTCATATATGCAGGAAGGTTTAAGGTCATTACTTTGACAATCAGACTATTGACCTTTTCTATGCATTCAGCTCAGCTCTGTCAAGTTCACCCGCTTCCGCTCTGTGTATTGAGGTTATGATGCCCTATTTGGCAGCCGAAACTATGGTACAAGCAGAGCGAGGCCAGCGATAGGGGAGTGTAGTGACGCTAACTGGAAAACAACTGTGCCCCTGCTAACAGCACGCCTCCCTGTGAACAAACTTCGGTCTATTTATACGGCTGCTTGGACTGAAGAAGGATTACCTGTTTTTTTCATTCCTCACCATCTACAAATAGTGCAAGTTTTGAATTGCGCTGTCTGTGGGAAAATGTTATTATTGTGTATCCTTCCTGACAACAAAAATTCAGTTAAGTAGAAGGTTTTAAGTGGCTAATCCACATGCCTGCTCTATATCTGTAATAGCTTTGGAGAATAGTTCCATAAATCCCCATATTTGCAGCTGCTTACAGATCAGCAGTTGCGTCTTATGAAATGAAATGAAATGAACTGGTTATGATAAGCTTGTCTAAAACTATATAAATTCTGTCCTGTTAGCAGACTAAGCTGTTTGTAGACAAATAAAGTCCCAACTATTGATTCAATGCAGACTTGGGAAAAGGTCACTTTGTTACAGGTGAACTTCTCTGAAGAACCCAATTTCCATAGTAATCAATGCGGCCTGTGTGCTGCAATATTCCAAGTCTTGTTCTGAAGCCGTACGATAGCTTTGCATGAGATTTGAGAACTATGGCGAAGAGCAACTTTACCAAATGGCTTTAGAAGAATTGTAATGTAGCACACAAATCAGACTACTTTCATGCCGTTTTTTTTTATTTTTTTTTAAATCAGCCTAAGGGTACATTTACACGAAAATAATGTACTAAAAACGGAAAACGGCGTAAAAAGTTGTCGTTTAAACAGCCCCTTACTTATCATTATAATGAAAAGTTCTCTAGAAATTCTGCAATATTACTGTTCCACAAAAAAGTCGATCAAGAGTTAGTAAACATTTTTTTAACCTTTTAAAATAACAGTTTACCTTATAGTTTTTTTTAAATGGCTGTATTTATTTGATCAAAAATACAGTAAAAGCAGCAATATTATTTTAATATTACAATTTAAAATGTAGTGCCACGTGATCCTTCAGAAATAATTCTAATATGCTGATCTGGTGCACAAAAAAACATTTCTTGTCATGATCAATGTTGTAAACAGTTGTGCTGCCTAATATTTTTGTGAAAATTTTCCAGGATTCTTTGATGAATAGACAGTTTAAAACAACAGCATTTATTTGAAACAGAATTTTTTTGCAACATTATAAAAGGCTGTACTGTCACTATTGATCAACTTATTTCATCCTTGCGCAATAGAAGTATACATTTCATTTAAAAAAGTGAATCAACTCAAAAGCAAATCCAAATCAAATGTGATCTGATTCACAAGTGAACAACTCTTTTGAGTCGGTTCATTTTAGTGAATGAAAAACAATTATGAAATCACATTTCAGCCGTTACTGAATTAATCTGAATTGTTTATACAAAGAAGACAGTCTTATTCATAACATCAACTCACCAATATTGACCGAGTCCTCCCAGTCTTCCAGTGTCTCTGTAACCGTAAGCACATACACATATGTCCGATGCTTGCTGTCCTGGTTCTGCTGTACAGAATGAGAAATATAAAGTTATCACATGGCTACACAATGTGCATAGAGTAGGTGTGAAGATAAGATATTTATGAATGTTTATGAAATAAAGCCTTGTTTATTGAAGTATCAGTGACAGCGTCTTATTTTATATAAGGTGGTTTGGCAGTCTTACCTCAAACACCCCCAGTAGCCTGCCAAGGGTACCCCTCACACCAGCCTGTTTAAGCAGGAAAAGACACGGAAAAGGCATTAGAGAGACTCACTTTTGTCCCAACCCACAAGCCTTTTCAGTTTTAAACATGGTTGAGGCATCAAACTGTAAATCATACAGAAATATAGTTTAAAAAAAAAAAAAAAAAAAAAAACCCATATATTACATTAAATATATGCATGGGGCTATGATGCGTTATTGTGCAGATTATGGCACTTTTAAAAAGGAAATGACTTCTGCTATGACATAAGCTGCAGCATGATTCTATCAGTGCTAACAGCGGCTTAACATGAAGAGGAGCACACCAAATTTCTGGAACCGTACCAGCTGACGCCGACACATCAGGCCAAAACATTAGCCCCAGCTCACTGATCCGGGAGACCTGAGCTGCGTGTTTCCATAACACAGGAGATTCCCGGACAACATAATGCTCATAAGGGAACATCATGTCTTCATTCAGACATTGCAAAATGCCCCAACCAGCCCGAGCTCACCCTGCAAATTGGGTTGATACGACTGTTCACAATCAGAACTGACAAACAACAGGGGGCGATTTCAGGGACTATGAGAGATTTGTCTATTTAAAATGCCCTGAGAGTGTTTCTGTCATCTCGGTGTATCCTCATCTGACACGATCCCATAACATGAGCATTGCCCTAGACAAACCCTGAAAATAAACATCATAGCTGGAAAAGGACCAAATTTAAACATTTCATGAGGTAAAAATGTCGTTTTTATGTCCCATCCAGAGTTTTAGCCAAGCTACATTCATTTAAAGAGGACCTATTATGCCCCCCTTTTACAAAGTCTTGATTTTGTTTTTGGGGTCAATTGGAATAGGGTTTTATGCTTGAATGCTAAATAAACACCTTATTTTTCACATATTGCAGCACATCTCTTCCCTGTCTGTCAGTAACTCTCCGTTTAGTTCTGCTCTCGTATAAAGCCCCTCCTTTCAAAAAGCACAATGTGCTCGGATTTGTTGGTTGGACCAGTGTGTTGTAATTAATCAACAGCTTCAAACTTGTGTTTCGAAAATGTCACACCCCTTACCATAGCCGCGAGTTTCAACACACTACAAATGCAACTCAACCAAGAGGACTTTTTTGTGTATGTCTCAGGCAATAAATATTTCAATGTGGGATGTTGTGATGTGTACGTTTCCGGAAGAAAAATCAAGACTACACTACTCCTGGGCAAAAACAATAGGCCAAGCCAAAATGGCAAAATATTTAGTGGTCTTTTAATGCTCTCAACCATTTTAATCACAAATCAAATTGGGAAATTAGCAAGAATTGCACAAATACTGTAGATAAAGTAACTTAGGACGGAAAAGCCTTTCCCCAACTTGCAGACAGCCTTTTACATGAAGAAGAGTCAGTGCTGTTTCACTCAATTTGTTTCACTCAAGTTCATTTGAGTTTATTGTGAGACCAAATATGCACTATAGGGTTCAAATCTGGACTCTGACCAGGCCAAAAGATGAGCCTCATGGACTTGTTCTCAAGCCACTTCATGGTTGTCTTTGCAATTTGGGCCGGAGCATTGTCTTGTTGAAAAATAATATCTGATCATTACTCTTTAGATAACTTTTCATTTGTGAAGCAAGCCATTCTGCAATATTCTCCTGTACTCCAAAGCATTATAAATGGTAAATGGACTGCATTTATAAAGCGCTTTCACAGACCCAATGGCCACCAAAGCGCTTTACATTTGCCTCACATTCACCCATTCACACACTCATTCACACACCGACGGCGTATAAGACTTTTCACAGTGGCGTAGCTCACCAATACCAGCAGCGAAAAAGGCCACCACACAATGACACCTCTTCCTCCATGTTTCACTGTGGTAGAGATGCATTCATTGTTATATTTCTCACCAGATTTTCGAAGACACCGCTCTGGAGCGTCACCATGCAACTCATGTTTCATTGTGATTCATCACTCCACACACCTAGGAGTGCATTTGCTTACATTTTGCTAATTTCCTGACCAATAATTTGTGGTTAAGACAATTAAAAGCTTAGAGTTTAGCCATTTTGGGCTTGGCCCTTTTTTTCTGCCCAGGAGTGTACAATTGAGGCGTTTCAGGGATTTCAGAAACAGTGCTTACTGATATAGAGAATAACTCACTTTGGAGTGGACTTTGTACTTTGTAACTTTGCAGACTTTTTTAATGTGCATTGTTCAAACAGCAAAATTACATAAGAGAGTTGAAATGTAATAAAGCATAATAGGTCCTCTTTAACATGTCAAGAAAACAAATGTATTAAGTTATCATTAAATAATAATAAAAAAAAGTTCCTTTTCACAAGAGGCCTGTTATAAAAAACGATCCGCTTCGCAAGAGCTTTGGGACATCCCATCGCTGGCAAAGCCCCTGGGGGTTAAGTTTTAGGTCCCATGAGTGTTGCCATAGCCAGCAGCATGCTGTAATTCACAGACAGGTTTATGGTCTCCTCCAGGGTCTCCCTAACACTCGAATGGCTTGAGTTACACCTTTTAAACCATTATGTAACAAATAAATCCCTCGAAGTACAAAATAAAGTCTTATGTATGAAGGATAAAATGGAAAACATAGGCCAAATATGGCTTAGTTGGGCAGGGTTTTTTTTTCCAGTGTTATGCAACTATGCTTTAGTTAACTGAAATGTAAAACTCATTCAATCGATTTTAAATTATTGAATTGAATTCAATATGTTATTAAAGAAAGCATTACAAGCTGGCTGATTTATTTTCTTATACAGCCAGATAGCTTGCCCAGCCCACTGGCTATTCGTTTAGGGTACAATAATTAATTTCATACTTTTTAAAAAAACATTGACTGCTGTAATTAAGCTGCATTCAGATTGGGCAACTGCAAGTGTCCTAACACCATGACTCTTGAACCTCAGGGACATGTGCATTTCAGATGGACGAGGCCAACGGTAACAGGACACGGTTTCTAAATGTCGCTGTAATGCTTCACAGCTGTCAACAAATTACCCTCTTGGCATCCTCTACGATGGCCCTTCAATGTCATGACACAGCCCATCCTTGAAATGGACCACATAACCATTAGCAGGGATAAACATGAAAAGATTCATTTAGTGAAGCCTCTTAAATTGGAGACGAAAGAAAACGGGCTGATGTACAGATTGGGAATGATGATTGAGGAATCTATATGGTGGTGGTGGTGGTATCACATGACCATAGCTCTCAAACAGTTGAGTCAAAGGTGTGGGCAAAAACTGAATGGAATGCAGTGTGAATGAGAGAGTTTCATGGACTGTTTATGGGAAATTAAACTGCATAAAACACATTGAAAAAAGATAAACAAAGATGTGAGCTTAGTCTTTAGTTTGTAATATTTTGAGTCAAGTCATTATTTGACTAATTTAAGACATTTTTCCACAACTGGATTAAAAATTGGTTTACCGAGATGATGATTGGTTGCAACTTGCTGTACTGTGTTACTAAAAAAAAAAAAAAAAAATAGTATGCAGCATATAGTATATACTGCTAGTGCTAAGTATGCAATAAGCAGGATGGCATGGTGTAAAACAAAAAATCCTGGTGACAAGATATGAGACAGCTGCAAACTATAACTCTCACCTAAACATGAGCACGGTCTCTATGCTGACGCTTTAAACATAACTACAGTACAGTCAAGCCTCATTTAGGACCTTGGACCTACCGACAGACCCTCAGAAGCCTGAGGGACCAACATTACCCAACAGACCACCTGATGATGCAACCCCCTTCAGTAAACCAGTAAAGATAAGACAAGATTTTTATTTTACGTTAATAAATACATAAATAACATAGAGATCAACTGATAAGTCACAGTTACTGATAAAAAAACAAAACAAAAATAACAACTTTATTCAACAATTTCTTCTCTTCCGTGTCAGTCTCCTACACTGTTTATGTTGTAAAAACAGTGTGACGCTTCTGGGTTCTACGTCAGAACGCCGGCTCATTATTGGCCAGCTCCAGGGTCAGCATCACACGCATGCGTCGTGTTGCTCACGTGAACAGCGTCAGCCAATAATGAGCCGGCTTTCTGACGTAGAACCTGGAAGCACTGCACTGTGTTTACAACGTGAACAGTGTAGAAGACTGGCACGGAAGAGAAGAAATAGCTGAATAAAGTTGTTATTTTTGCGCACAAAAAGTATTCTCGTTGCTTCATGACATTAAGGTTGAAGCACTGTAGTCACATGGACTATTTTAATGATGTTTTTACCCCCTTTCTGGGCCTTGAAAGTTGCAATGACGTTGCTGCTGGTTCAGAAACCTCTCGGATTTCATCAAAAATATCTTAATTTGTGTTCATGAAGATGAACAAAGGTCTTACGGGTTTGGAACGACATCAGAGTGTGTAATTAATGACAGAAATTTCATTTTTTGGTGAACTAACCCTTTAAATCTGCAGTGGTCAGCTAGTAAAAATCATTGCTCTCAGAAAATTACGAGTTTACACGTTGTAATTACAAGTTCTACAAGCATGTGAAGGCTTTTTACAGTTCAGAACTGTTACTATAATTATGAAATGGTGTGAACGCAACTTTCACTCTGCAGGAATTTGGACCTTTAGGGCCAGAGTCGAGAACCAATGAGGAAGAAACCTCGAGGACATAGCTCACCTCCTCATAAACCTCTCGAACCGCAGCTCCTCCAGGCTCCTCTTCTGGCTCCATCCCTCCTCCTGGAACGATCCACTGATCTGGGTGTCGACTGCTGCTAACGAGCAAAACCTGCCACACACACACACACACACACACACATTCAAAAACAGAGCTTAGTCAGCTAGTCCAAATCCAAGTGCTCATCAACACTTTGTCAGGATATCTTGATTGCATAACTAAGCCTAACCTGATACTCCTCACAGTACCATCAGTAGCAAAAATACCATCCATCTGATAAACGTCCTTGCACTCTAGAAGTGCAAAGTAGCATGCACTGTACCAATTCATTTTATTTTTATTAAGAGTGATAGTTCATGTTGTTCCAAACCTGCTGTCTGAGTATCTTTGTTAATGCTGTGACAGTTTTTCAGTCTTCAGTGTCAATTGTTCAATGTCTATTAAAGTCTACATCCCTTAATCCTCCTATCCAATACCTAAACTTAACAACTACCTTACTAACTATTAATAAGCAGTAATTAGGAGTTTATTAAGGCAAAAGTCATAGTTAATAGTTAGTTAATAGTGAGAAATGGTTAACGGTGTTAATGTTTTGACTGTTTTTGTCCATGCAATGAATGTCAATGGGTTCCAAAACAGCATTGGACCCCATTGCCTTTCATTGCATGGACAAAAAAAAGACATTTCAAAAAATATCTTTTAGAAAGTTTGATCACAGTCTTTTACTAAAATGTGTATATTTATTACAATTGAATTTCTGCTTCCATAATGAGCTACTGCATTAATCTCGCTCTATCCTGTCACTCTCCACCACTCTTCTAGAAGGCAATCGTATATCTGTGGAATCACGTCTTATAAATAAACTACCAGCAACAGCTGTCTCAGCCATAGCGACAGATTCTGTCTGCTGAGAGTCAAGCTCTGCTTTGGGGTATGAGGTGTGGGAGCAAAAACAGCTGCGGCTGGACCAGGTGACCATGAGAGATGTGGAGAAATCTCACAGGTTCCGCCTTTACATTTCTCCTGAAGGATCACGCGGTTCAATCATAGCTTTAGTTTAGGAAAACCTAAGAATCAATATGCCCACTAATGCAGATGGTTCAGTTACAGTTGTTCAAGGATAAAAATACAGCATGGTAATTAGAGTTAAAGTAGTTCACCTTTATTTTTAGCAATTTAGAGCACTTTCATTTCAGCAAGCATTGCAGTCAATATTTGGCTATGTGAACTGTTATGCAAAGTTCCCCACCCACTGATAGCTTTGAATTTTTTTTTTTTGATTCAATCATCCTTGGAACTGATCAATTGATTAAATTAAGCCACAAGGTTAACAAACATTCTGACTAACAGCACAAAACAGCAAAGGTATTTACATGAATCTGTCCAAATTGTCAACATAAAGACAATTTTTAATAATTATGGCTGACAGGCAGAATATAATCCCTGATATGTAGACTACATTATTATTAACCATCAAATCAAGAATCTCAAATATTTTTATTATATTTTACATTGAGTAAAATAGAGCATTCTGGAAAATTAACTGTTCTCCCACCATAGTCTATAGCATAAGTAAAATTAATAAAATGTATATAAATTAAATTCCTACATTTGGAATTTCAAACGCTTCTAATTAGTATAATTTCCTTATTCTAGAAATATGTATGACAACATTTATGGGTATAATTTTAAAATTAAATCATTATTCAAAGATTTTTGCAGTTAGACATTTCACTCCATTCTACTTCAAATTGCAAGAATTCTGTTTGTAACAGTGTTCACTGTATTATTGTTATTTTGGAAATTAGATATTATAGATTTTATTTATATTTTTATATTTTTCATTTTAAAATCTGTTAAAAGTTATAGTAATTTTTTTTCTATGTTTTTTGGTATGTACTATTTTTTAATTGGTTTCGAAGGTTGTTAAAACCGGGGGTGGTAGTGGGGATAAGCTCCCACTTCCTATAAAATGCCCTCAATGGTGTGCGTCTCAAACAGCCTCTGACAACCCAGTCCAGCTCCTGGCCTTCCCGTGTGGCTTAGCTACTAAGTCCGGCGAAACCGTTCCCACTAACAGGAGAAGGGGCAAAGGCGGTCCTCTGGCGCCTCAAAACCAGTCGCTTCGGGCAGATGGGGCTCGTCAACCTTGGATGGTAGCTCATCTAGGAGAAGGCAACTCTGATTCCAAACCTCCGCTGCCTTGCGGCATACCCCTTCAGGGGAAAGGCTAAGGGAGTAAACCCTGACAGAAAATCCGGAGCTGGAGTCCCTAAGGCGGCCTGGCATAGTATCGTCTTCACCGGCAACTCCTGCGGCGCAGCTGGAGCCAAGCTGTATCGACTCTGTCTTTCCCTTGGATTCTTCAGCTTCGCGGAGAGGGGGGGCCTGCTGCATGGGCAACAGCTGGCCCTCCATATAACCCTGCCCAGGCTCTGTAGCTCCACTGGAGAGGACACTCCAGCGCCATCGCAAGATGTCGACTCAACACGGGAGGGGGCAGTTACCGGTTATAAGCTCGTCCGATTGGCGAAGGAAGCGAGCGCCAGGGGTCCCCTTCGACGGTGGGAGAGGTCATCGCGCCTCATTGGACAGCTAGCGCCCGCCTCAAGCTGGGCAGCCCCCAGCCAGTAAGGTGCCGTCCCGCCATGGCTCACCTGCCCCACTGGGTGCGTGGGGATTAGAGAGGCATCTCTCGAAAAGTGGGCCACTAATCACTCGCACCAGGCAAGTCAAAGGAAGAACCAAGAAAGAAGCCTCCAGCTCTTCGTTTCGCTAGCTGGAACGTCAGGACCATGTGTCCAGGACTAACCGCAGACCTTCTGCAGATCGACGACGCAAGGAAGGCGGCCGTCATTGACAGGGAACTGTCACGACTGAACGTCGACATTGCCGCCCTACAGGAGACCCGGCTGGCTGACAACGGCACCATCAGGGAAACAAACTACACTTTCTACTGGCAGGGGAAGTCCCCAGACCAACCCAGGCAACATGGTGTTGGCTTCGCTGTGAAGAAGACACTTGTCAGTTTCACCGAGCTCCCCACAGCAGGCACAGAGAGGATACTCACCCTCCGGCTGTCAACGTCTTCTGGCCCAGTCAACATTCTCAGCGTGTACGCCCCAACCCTCTGCTCCACCGCCGAGGAAAAAGATGAGTTCTACCAGGCCCTAGATGAAGCGATATCCAGGTGGCCCAGCACTGAAGGCCTTTACCTCTTAGGAGACTTCAATGCAAGAGTAGGAGCTGACCACAAGGCTTGGCCCACCTGCCTCGGAAGCTTTGGGAGGGGGAAGATAAACGAGAATGGCCAGAGACTGCTCGAGCTCTTGTGCCACCACGGCCTGTGCGTGACCAACACCTTCTTCAAGTGTAAAGAGATCCACCAGGTGTCATGGAGGCACCCCCGATCCCGCCACTGGCACCAGCTTGACCTAGTCATCACCAGAAGAGCGGACATTGGTTGCGTCCTCCTCACCCGCAGTTACCACCGTGCAGACTGCGATACGGACCACGCCCTCGTAGCAAGCAAGGTGCGCACTACACCCAAAAGGTTGCACCACTCCAAGAAGAAGGGTCGCCCACGCATAAATGCCTGCTGCGCCAGCAATCCTGAGAAAACCCAGCAGTTCATCAGCAGGCTGGAACACGCCCTCAGCGAGGGAGTGTCAGCAGATGACACCATCGACTCCAAGTGGCCCTGCCTCCGCGACGCGGTTTACAACGCCGCCATCACCGCCTACGGGAAGAAGGAGCGGAAAAATGCCGACTGGTACGAGGCCCACTGGGAAGAAATGGAGCCCGTGACTGAGGCAAAGAGGAAAGCCCTTCTGGCCTACAAGGCCAATCCAAGCCCTAGTACCCTACAATCCCTCCGGACTGCCAGGAACAAAGCCCAGCAGACCGCCCGCCACTGCGCCAACACCTACTGGCTAAACCTCTGCAGCAGCATACAGAGAGCTGCCGAGACAGGAAACGCAAGAGGGATGTACGAGGGCATCAAGAAGGCAACAGGCCCAACCCCCTCCAAGACCGCCCCCCTCAAGTCCAAGACGGACGAGGTCATCACCGACCAGGAAAAGCAGATGAAGCGATGGACGGAGCACTACCTCGAGCTATACGCGACGCTGAACGTGGTGACTGACACGGCTCTCAACGCCATCCCAGACCTACCAGTCATGGAGGAGCTAGATACCCCACCAACCATGGACGAGCTCAGCAAAGCCATCGACTGCCTTGCCTGCAGGAAGGCGCCAGGGAGCGATGGAATCTCTCCAGAGGTTCTAAAGAGCGGGAAACCAGCCCTGCTACAACCACTCCACGACCTCCTCTGTCTCTGCTGGGAACAGGGCTACATCCCCCAGGACATGCGAGACGCTAACATTGTCACCTTGTACAAGAACAAGGGAGACCATAGTGACTGCAACAACTACCGGGGCATCTCCCTCCTCAGCATTGTAGGCAAAGTGTTCGCCCGCGTCGCTCTGGCCCGCCTGCAGACCCTCGCCTCCCGCGTCTACCCCGAGTCCCAGTGCGGCTTCAGGGATGGCCGATCAACAGTAGACATGATCTTCTCACTATGCCAGCTGCAGGAGAAGTGTCAGGAGCAGCACATGCCACTCTACATCGCCTTCATCGACCTCACAAAGGCGTTTGATCTGGTCAGCAGAAGCGGACTCTTCAGGTTGCTGCAGAAGATTGGTTGCCCCCCACACCTGCTTGCAGTGGTCACGTCCTTCCACGAGAATATGCACAGCACAGTATGCTACAACGGCGCAACATCCGAAGCCTTCCCAGTCAGCAGCGGAGTGAAACAAGGCTGCGTCCTCGCGCCCACACTATTTGGTATCTTCTCCATGCTCCTCCAATACGCCTTCAAAGACTGCAGCGAGGGTGTCTACATCCGCACCAGGTCGGACGGCAAGCTCTACAACATAGCCCGTCTCCGTGCCAAGACCAAAGTCACAGGGGTACTCATCCGTGAGATGCTCTTCGCTGATGACGCAGCCTTGACCTCACACACGGCAGACGGACTTCAGCAGCTTGTCAACCGCCTCTCACACGCCTGCAAGGAGTTTGGATTGACCATCAGCCTGAAGAAGACCAACGTC